ATTATTATCATTTTCATTATTTTTAAATCAATTTATTTTTCATTTTCTTATTTGATCAGTTTATAATTATTAATATATCTATTATAGCTGTTAGCAGCACCTTTCTTTGTTTCATGCATTTATTCAAAAACAGTATGTAGCTTGAATTAACCACCTGTTTCTTCTTTCTAGTCAAGAGAAAGAGAAAAGAGTCCAGTAAAGAAAAGTCTTATTTCATCACTGGATGAACATGAAGAACTGAAGCGGACACAGCAGGAACAACACTTGTGTCTTCTTCTGGATGAAGCCCGTGAGACGAGGGACAGACACAATCATTAGTTGGACGCAGTAGTTTTTATTTTTATACGTTTTTCACTTCTTACTTTTCCTATTAAACATTTTTTTCTTAAGTGGTGTCCTTGAACATTAAATTTCCTAAACAAATTTTACAATGTTAAGTTCATATAGTGTTTGTTTAAATTCATACTGGAATTGAGAAGAATTTCCAGTTGCATTTGATCTTTAATGGATCCTAAGAAAAGATTACTAGAATCTGCTCAACTGTTATTATGTTATAATTTTTTGGTTCTAGGATGAAGTGACACAAAAACAGTCAAAAATTCAGAAAGGACAGTTATCAATTATCAGTTATTGGCCATACAACTGTGGCCTGAGAGATTCAGCTGAAAGTCCTGGTGCACCTTTTATTTGAACCTGCAGAGATTTGAACAGCTGATCTGAAGCAAACAGGCAGGAGTTCACCTGAACTGACCACTCCTGCTGTTTGATGGTCTCCTCCTTCGCCACCCGTCCATCCATCCATCCATCCATCCATCCATCCATCCATCCATCCATCCATCCATCCATCCATCCATCCATCCTCTTCTGCTTCAGGGTTGTGGGAGCAGCATCTTCACCAGGGAGGCACAGACATCAACAGCCTCCTCTTCAACTCTTCTAGGATCCCATGGTGTTCACAGACCAACTGACTATTTATTAATTAATATCCTGATGCTGCTCAATAATCCAGGTAGAAAAATCTAAAAAGTTAAGTCTGGTCCTCTGGACATTCACAAAACAAACAATACAGTTCATAATAAATAAACTATATGTTTTTTGTTAGTTTTGTTTTCTGAATGTCCAGAGGACCAGACTTAACTTTTTTAGATTAATAAGTAATAAATTTATGTTTTAATTTAATGAAAGACAAATCTTTAAAATTCAAGGACAAAATTTAATCTAATTGTTTTCAAGTCTGTATCTTATTGTAAAAGCAGTTTCAAAGATTACAGCACAGTGTGATGTTTTGCAATTTTAACATGAACCTTGTGCATATCTGCAAATAATAAAAGTGAAGATATTTTTAATACATCTTTATTGTAAAAATCTATACTAAAATGAAAAACACATGGGTTTAAAGCAGCAGGGAAGGCAGTAAGGTAGGATTATGAATCAGGTCTAAAGTTACAGCTCATGAGGTACTCCATTAGAGCATGACATCTTTTCCACAACATCGTGTGACAAAACCTTCAGGGTGTTCTTCTTCTAATACGTTTAGTGGTGGCTAGTAAGTAGCTTAAGGGAGCACTACCGCCACCAGGTGGTAAGACGAGTTGGATTCTAGTCCCCGCCTACAGAGCTGGTCCAGAAATGTACATGGAAACACAACAGACCCGAACCGATCTGAACCAACCCGAACTGATCTGATCCGCTCTGTGACAGTGGAAAAGGGGCATTAGATGTGTGTTTTAGACGCCACACAGCTGAATCAAGTAAGGAGGTCATTAGCAGGACTTTGGAGAACTTGACTGCACTGAGAAGCTAATTCAGTCATATGATTCAGGTGTTTTGGACCAGTGCAACATCTAAAAGTTGCGGGACTCAGGCCCTCGAGGCCTGGAGTTTGACACCCTTGGTGTAGAGGCAGGGCAGCCGGCTTGGGACCCGAAAGTCCCAGTTCGATCCCCAGTCACTACATATCACGTGGTGTCTCTGGGCAGCACACCTCATCCCCAAAATGCCCCCCAGGCGCCCCCAATAGCTGCCCACTGCACCACCTGGTGGTGGATGGGTTAAATGCAGAGACTAATTTCGCCATTGTATGGAAACATACAGTGATGACATTATTATTATTAGTGTTAATGTTAACCCCCCCAAGAATATTTAAATACACTGAACCATGTGTTCAGCTTTAATGGCTGTACGTCTAAGATTTACAGAGGGAGAAAATCGTGAGAATGAGTTTAGTATTCATCTATGACTGATTAAACCACAGATTCTTCATGTCTCCTGTCAAACAAGTTACACTGAGTGGAGCGGTCGACCGTTCCAAGATGGCGGCCCTACAGCTCGTCAGCGCCAATGGGCGATAGCGGTCAATGCTGTATCTAGTGTTTATATCTATGGTGACGTGTATGCGTTTGCCTCAGAACAACAGCCATGATTGGCTGAATAGTCCATTGTGCCTGCCCCATGAGTGAGGAAAAGAAAAGAAGAAGAAACAGAGCTGGTCTGGAAGCGGACCCATCACTACTATAGTGTAGAGCTGGACAATAATTCGATATCGATATATCTCGCGATATACTTTTATTCAATAACGATGATATGAGTTTTAAGCACATTTTTGATATTTCGACAGGATTACAGCGTTTCACTGACACATTTATTTTTGTGTTCAGGTTGAAGCGGCCACTTCAGTTTCAACCCGGACAGAAAAAGGTGCGACACAACTACGTAAGTGCGTGGTGACGTAGATGTTACGTAGAGCTCAAGTCCAGAAGGCGTTAGTGGTAGCAGGCTAAGCTAGGCTAATCTCCAACACGCGTTAAGTGTTTGCTTCAAAATGAGTTCCCATGATCGTCAGAATGTGACTGAACAAGGTTTCACAAGCGAAGAGAACAAAGATGACATCACTGATAAGAGAGAAAAGACTAATTTGCTGGTTTGGAAGTGGTTCATCTTTCCAAGACCTGATAAACTGCAGGTTTCAGTCAGTGTGCTGCAAAATGTGACGGAGAGTCGTTCCAACTAGCGGTTGGAACATCTAACTTGTTCCACCTGACAGAAGATGATGAGTCACAAGATGAAGCACAATAAAATTTGAGCCAATGTTTCCCTGAAACACCCCCAGCGCTGTATGCTTTTTTTTTTTTTTTTTATCATTAATTCATTCATTTAAAATAAAACAAATTCATCAGAAAGAACAAAAAAACATTGAATGAAAAGGTTGTAGAAAGAAGAAAAAAATTATTATCTGCCCCTTATTTAAAAAATACAAAATAACTAGAAACAAACAACAACCTTGACTTGAACAATCTCCAAACTGAAAACAAAAAAACTTCAGGTATCCTTCACCTGGTACTAAACCTTCCCAACAACTTTAACTATCATCTTTTTAAACATATACATTGTTTTATAAATGTTTATGGTGATATCGAAGCAATTCCATAACCCTGTTCCCTGAATTACAACACAGCTCCTTCACACTAGTTCTAAATGGAGGTTTTACAAACATTTACATTCCCTTAAGGTTATTTTTACAAATTTTAATTGAATATTTAGGGATAATATTTTTGAGCTTTATACATGACTTGTAAAATACTATATTCAACCAAATCATAACATTTTAATAATTTCGACTGATGAAATAATATATTTGTTGGGTGACCATAGCACGTCATAATAGGGTTTGTAATTGTTTTGCATGCTTTTCCCTAAACTTCATTACAATAGATTAAATATGGAACAATCATTACATTATACAATATATACAAAACTTTGTCATTCAAAAACTATTTTACTTTATACAGTAATGCAATTGATTGTTATTTTTAAGTATTTTACATGAGATTTCCACGTCAGCTTCTCATCAATAACGACACCCCAACATTTTATTTCATTAACAACGAATTTCAATGCTGTCAATTTTAAAGTTGTTGGTTAAAGTTAAAACTATTAATATTGACAAAGTTGAGAATTTTATTGTTTATTTGACAGTGATTTCAATTTTTTTGAAGGCTAAATACAAATAAAAGGTGAACATTAATTTATTTGTATAGTTTGTAGTTTTTCTGAGGCTTTTATATTGTTTACATCGATATCGAATTATATCGTTATTGACCGAAATTAAGAAATATATCGTGATAAAAGTTTTGGCCATATCGTCCAGACCTAACCACATGTACAGCATGTGGTGCGAACGACAATAAACTCTGAATCTGAATCAGGCACCGCTGGGATTTGAACCCAGAATCTTCAGTTTACAAAACTGATGCTTTGACCGTCTAAGCTACAGTGCCTGGTGATGATGATGATGGGTCTGTTTTTATTGGGTAGAAACAGTTTTCTTTGGGGGTGGGATGAAACCGGAGTTCCCGGAGAAAACCCACTTACTTTCCTGGTGTTGGGTCCGCATAGAGAGATCTTAATAACTTCTGCAGGAAAATGAGGGAACCATTGGTCAAATTAGAATTATTTTTTTGGGGGG